TGTGGACAGCGCCATTAATAAACAAGACACATGTGTAATTAAATCAAATACACTCGAAGCGTAGAGTCTTAAGACTTTTTGAGTGTGTGCTTCACAGTAACTGGTACCTGGGTTTCATCGCCCTGATGACGGAGGCAGTATGACCTCTGAAACGTTGGTAAACATCTACCAGACTACACAGCGCAACAACCCAGAAGACAGAAATCTTCATACTCATCGCCCTGATGACGGAGGCAGTATGACCTCTGAAACGTTGGTAAACATCTACCAGACTACACAGCGCAACAACCCAGAAGACAGAAATCTTCATCGCCCTAATGACGGAGGCAGTATGACCTCTGAAACGTTGGTTAACATCGACCAGACTACACAGCGCAACAACCCAGAAGACAGAAATCTTCAAGATCTATAAATCACTATTTAATTGGAACTGAAGAAAAAATTACTCTTTTCTTACCATTTTTCAATTTTCCTTTTCTTTCGGTTCGCTTCTATTCTTCTCCGTAACTAACTGATTAACTCGACGGAGCACAGTTCTTCCTGAGAAGCTGGTAGTCACTCAGCTGGTAAATTCCCCGTTTCTGGGTGTTCCTTACGCTTTCGTGTAAGCGAAAAACAATTTCCGGGCCTTCCCACGTCATTCAGGCACGTCTTTTTTCACACTGTAACAATTCTAACCTTCTATCACATCGTTACAACAATTACATTTTATCAAATTGTTGTAAATGTGGTCTTGAATACCATTACTGCCTTTGCAAGACAAAACTTAGCAAACTTAGGCAAGATTGGAAGATAATATTAAAAATGATTCATAAACAAATATGGTGTGAGAGTGTTTGATTAGATTCATCCGGCTCAAGAAAATCCAACACAGGAAGGTAAATTGAGTTCAAAGAAACAAATATCTCATAGCCAGTTTATAATTCTTTACTTCAACTCATAATCACATAGTTCACAGGCCAAAGCACGTCTCGTGTGTAAGAGTGTGTTAAATTACAAAATTCTTGTGGGATGCAACTATTAAGAATCATGAAAAATAATCATCCATATTTTGCCGATACATTTCACGAAGGAATCCGCATATGAAACGAAACCATTCTGGCTTTCTCGCCTATAATATGTGAGCCTTATTATTCAGCTTCTGAACTGGTTGCTTAGCCTTTGCCCTTACAAAGGCAAAGGCATTCCTACAAGAACAGCTCTGATCCCCTCCAACTCTCGCCACAAAATACTACAGCAGTAGTGCACACCTCCCCTACTTTCAGGGAACATTGGCTGCAACAACCACAAGTAGCTTTGCCTCAAACTCGTTCTCTTGTCCCCAAGAGTCTTCGCACACATAAATCTTCACCACTTCCTCTTTTAACTCCTCACTCCTCGTTTTCTATATCGAACTCCTGCTTTCTAGTTCATTTGTTGTAAATATTATTTCCCCATCCCACTGCTTACTATTCCTCCTGCATAAAATCATCACTTCCCATTTCATGCTGTAGCTGTAGATACGTTTCATTTTCCCGCTTCATATTCGCTAAGTGAATTTACTAACCAAACATAACCAACCAGCCCGACGTAACGAGTAGTTCGCCACAGATCAAACCATCGAAGATGTTACTGAATACCTACACCCATTTATTTGACAACCTGGCACTCTTCCCTTATGACGGAGTGAGTGTTTGGGCGGGAACATTTCTGTACGAGTCTCATCGCATATATTTTTACCAACATGTTTCTCCGATATGTGACATCCAAAGTGGCTATTTTTCATCTTCAGAAGGTGCTAATTATTTCCCACTTCTGAACGTCAATATTTCCTTTGGAAAAATACTTGTAATATGCTTACCCATTAATATTTAAATAAATTATAATTTATGAATATAAAATATGTGCCCTATTCGAAATTAAGACTTTAACATAAAACAAATACAGAAACATAAAATTTTCATTAATAATAATCCAATAACGTTTTACTAAAATGTCATAATCACTTCATTTTCTCAGTAGATTTAGAAACAAATTTTCAGAACTTTTTTTTGACGTAAATACGTCTATGAGGAAGGGTCATTCGGCAAAAAAGTGTTATGAAAAAGGGAAACGAAAGTGTAACTTCATTGTTATGTTACCTAGGAAACGTCAACCTTCATTGTTATGTTACCTAGGGAACGTCATCTGTTTACTAGGTAACAACAATGGTTACCTAGGAAACGTCATCTGTTTATCAACAAATAAACAACAATGGTTACCTACGAAACAGATGGTTTATCAACAAATCGACAATAATTGTTACCTAAGGAACATCTATTTACTCGGCAAATTTGTTACCTAGGAAACGTCATCTGTTTACTCGATATTGTTGTTACCTATAAAACATTTCATTACATTACCTTACCTTACCTTACATTTCATCACATTACATTCAGCTACCACATTACATTACCTTACGTTACCTTACCTTACATTATCTTACCTTACATTACATTACCTTACATTACATTACCTTACATTATATTTCATTACATTACATTCAGCTACCACAGATCCATCTTAAGCGTAACTAATTCAAGTTGATTAAGCAATGTCTTAATCAAACTTATCTCAATTGTGAAGCATGTATAAAGGAAATATTTAGAATAAAGCCAATATATAAACTTCCTTTCCGTATAGACGTATTTACGTCAAATTCTCCGGAACCGTGGCTCCACTGACAAATTTTTTTGCGCAGAATTCATAAACGAACGCTACCAAATTGTTTTCAATTAGACAACTAAATTATTACATGCCTTAATATTTCAAACAGCGGGGTTCAACCTGGGAAAGTTTTTGAAAACGTAAATATGTCTCCAGTCTTTATTTTTGCACCACGCAAGGAAATTTACAGCTCAGCAGAGGTAAAACTCCATGCATTCTTAACCTAGACCGCTTTACTGCCGAGGAAAAAACCCCGGTATCTTTTGGATAGACAGCTGAGTTGCAGCCGGGGACAGACCGAACACGGTGGAGGTCTCTGCTTCTGCCAGGAATCAAACCCCTGCCGTTCAACCCGTAGACGAGTCATTATACTGAATGAGCTATGCCGTGTCCTGAGGCAGTTTCTGTTAGTCTAATAAACACTCCATCCATTTATGGCGCTATGTGAATATTACGTTTGACACCATCCGTTGTCTGATGCAGTCCGTATCAGATATTCAAGGCATTTCGGGAGTTCAGGTAAGCGATGTTATTTCATAAAGGTATCTACCATTATCTCCTCAGTATAATATTAAAGGCGACGATTGGAATCGAAACCGGGATCTATTACTCTATTAGCTAGACCACTAGAACCATCCTGGCAACAACGTTTGTTAAGAGGAAGTGTATAAATGTATTCAGAATTTTTTTTCAATACTAAGATATTTATGCTCCATCAATTCATGTCACGCGACTGAAATTACTGTGTAAACCACATTCAATATTATAATACTTGGTTCTGCCAATATTTAAGAAAGTTTATTCTCTCCGGATCTTTCGGAGGGTATTATAAATAGGTGGAAGATTTTGAAATGATTGTAAAAAAGAAGCCATTGAAAGAATAAAGTAAGCAGTTCTTTTCTTAAAGGATCAAAGTGATGGATTGGAGACGTGAGGGGAATAAAATGAATCTGCTGGAAACTAAGAGAAGTGGTTCGAGCAAGGAGTAAAAATAGTATATGCCTGTCTAAAAGGAAAGAGCAGTTTTGAATTTTACGTCTAAAACCATATCATCAGAAATGAAGTTGTAACGGCGAAATGATCACCAAGACACGTAAAGATGCTCTTCAAAAGATAGCTTCTGGCTCTGCATACAGAATGGACACTACATTTGATCGCCATTATCGGTGTACTATCTTTTTATTGCACACACGTAGACATTTTGAAAAGTATATTCCAAGGGGTACGGAGCCTCCATGATAGACTAAAAGCAGACTGACATTTTCTGGGAAACTCCGTTCGAATATTCTGCTACTTCGCCAAATTAAATTGAAACTCATGCCAATGATACTACCAATAAATGTTACGTCGTTAATTATTAGTGCACATTGATAACTGCTGTCTAAGTATGAAGGTGGTTGTCATCAGCCACGTTGTTCCCTGACGATGGAGGCAGTAAACACCTCCTAAATGTCGGTCAATTTCTAACAGACTACGTGCCGCAACATCCCAGAAAACAACTATCTTCTACTACTCGCCGTGAGAACCTGAAACCTCACAGTAAATAAGTAATTTTCTTTCCGCCAGTAACTCTCAGACACTGCACATATTGGATCAATTAAGAATTTGTTCTACTCCTTACAGACCTAGACACTCGCAGTGTTGCAATAAGAACGTCATGTTTAATTTCACATCCTTTTCAGCAACAACAAATCCCTCTCAAATATGTTGTAGAAAAATTTTCCTGACACAAAAGACAAAAACAAAACATTACAGGAACAAAAACAAGCATATGCAATTTGAAGACGACTATTCATATTTAAAAATTTAGTCCGTACCGCACAGAAATTACAACGATCAATTGGTTAACGCTGTTTAAAGAAATAATCGCTGTATACTCTAAGAAAGATAATAAAACCTGTAAATGTATTTCGTAAGCAAAATGCATAGTTACCTAATGTTAAAACAGACGGTATTTGCCACTCGGTAATGAAGGGATTTTAGCACTGTGCCATGAGGACGTGTATTGAGTGTAAGTAGGCTAGTTATGCGAATTCTTAACGTCGACAGTCGATGGCGTACGAATTGTTAGCTTCACGCACCGAGGATAGAGCCTCTCGTATCCAGTAGACAAGAAAACAGATGGCCTGGATGCAGTAGCAAAAGAAAAATTCCTTCTCATGTCGAGATTCTAACCCCGGACGCCCAGCCCTTCACACCCTAATCACTGCACTGAGTTATCCCGACTTCCGAAACGTATTTCAAATTATCCATGCTATAAACTGTCACTTCACAAACTCATCCTTCTAACAGATATCTTTACTGTCTTTGGTGATCTGTAGCTTCTGTCCTTTTGCGTTTAAGATATTCAGTTACCACTGCGTCTCCTTTCTCGTCGGTACATACACAATTTCAACTTAAACTCGTATTATGTATCTTCTGCTTCAACAGTCGCTCAAACTTACTTTACTAGACCGGAAGCTATGTGCTTTAAAATGTCACGTGTTCTGTTGTCAACTGTGATGAAACTATGACGTCAGTTACATAGCCTCACTGACCAGGAGTGTAAATCCTTTCTACCGCCGGAGGGAAGTATAAAATGAACGGATGATGGGGTAAGTTTGTAACAGAAGATCACAGAAAGCAAGTAACAACCCACAATGTAAAATCCAGAGAGACTATGAAGTTCGTTCGGGATAATACCTTAAATAAAGTCATTACAGACCGTTATTCACCACCAATCCTATCATTCAACTTCATCATCTGAGTATCTGAAATCGTCGTTAAATAAATCATGAATAAACAGAAAATACAAATTTGTTGAATGAAATAAGAGTAATCTGACGTGGGCGGTCTTTGCTAAGTGTTCGGGGACCAGGTATGGTTTCGGTCCCTTGTCGATAAAGTAATAAAAAAAACTGCTTTGTCATTTTTCAATAAAATGAATGTGAGAATAAAAGCAATTCTGCGCACAGAACGAATATAGTCAGCTGTTATAGGTCTCTTCGGATTTTATAAATAGTCAGCTACAATAAATCTCTCCTCTTTCGGGTGAACCGGTAGGTTACCAATACGAAATTAATTTCACGTTTTAAACAGATACGTGAGTTCATATCTAGTTCCTTAAAAAGGAGACAATTGCTTCTTTTTGGTAAAGAATTCTCGTCCTTATTTTTGAACACATTTTGTAGCCTGTGAACTCACAGATCCCAGCGTCGTATCTAGAAACAGAAAACGCTATTTAGAAGCTGAAGTATTTAACCTATGAATCTATAGATTCATTTAGAAATACATCATAGTCCACATTGTGCGGCCTAAACGACGCAGAAGGACGGTCGGATAATCGAAAATGTCAGAAAATACAGAAGAAGAAAAAATCATTTTTCGTTCCTATTAAATTACGAAGAAAATATAATCAAATCAACAAAGTCTTATAAACAATTGTATTAAAAATTATGTAAATTTGTGAATGAAAGAGTTTATTTTTTTAAGAAATGAGTAATTTACATTTGGTTCTGAGCCTCCTTCCTTTTCTTTGCCGGCACCTGAACAGTAGGAAGTCTGTAGCAACTGAGTACATAAAATGTAGAAGGTGCGTGGTGAGGGTGTGATTCATTCTGCTACATCCTTGGTTGACTGTTGAAAAAAAGAAAGATTCCAAAATGACACGTCGACGAAGATCGGATAATCGGGACTCCACTGTACGATTTTGGGTAAGGTTAAATAAAAAACACTGTTGTGGTGGTTAATTGTAACCTTCCAAAGGATTAGGCATTTCACTTATTAAACAAAAAGATGAAATGCACATACTAAATTTTAGTAGGAAATCTCAAAGCAAAAGACCACTTGGCAAACACAGAAGTATATTCACAGATAATATTACAACGAATGTTAAAGATAATTGATAAGAGGGTGTGTGGACTTTTGTGGCTTTGAATGGGTACCAGTGGCAGACTCTTATGTGTACGGTAATAATTCTTCGGATTCCACAAGAAGCAAACAATTTGCTGACAAGACGTACAACTTACAGCTTCTAAATAAGTAATTCGCTCCATAGACTTACATATCATAACATATTTTACTGAAATAATTACCTTAATACAAAACATATATGCCTTTTTAAGACATCAGTAACGAATATTGATAATTCGATATTTTAAGGGCAATAAGCCAATTCCATATAGCTCATGTGGACGAGAAGAAAATATAAAACCAAATAAAATGTGCACCTGCTTCGAGCAAAATTACTTAAAGATATGTTACGGCGTTAAACAACTTCGATCCTTTTCCTTGAAAGAGACGATTATCGGAAGAATATAATGATAGGCTCCTGGTTCTATTCGACACAAAGCAAGAGAAGCATGGTGCAATAACACAAAGATAAGGACGAGTGATATTGACATTCAATTAGAACACAGATGCTCCCGCGTATTTCTACCGCAACTTCTATCCCTCTGTCGTATTACAACTGCCACTAACAAGCAAGAAATTGTTCTGGATTCCCATGCAACCATGGCGATCGCTAGCTCAGCTTACAGTATTCTTGTGCATTTGGCCTCTAGAGAATTAGTAGACTAACATGTTGGAAATAACAAAGATACAGCAGGATTTTATGTTTTCATTACGGTCAGTACGAAGACGGCTTGTTCTGTGCTATTGCGCCGTGTAGCCTGGTAGAAGTTTGCCGACGTTTCAGAGAGGCCCACTTGGGAGACAGATTTACATGGGAGGATGTTATTAATATGGATACTGATTAATATAATTGAGCAGAATTCAAATGGCCCAAGAAATAGTAATTTCGGCCTCTTGTGTGCATGTTCTGTTTCCAAAAATGTGAATGATTTCTTGAACAGCTAATCGACTGCTGGCTTCTCAAGGACTCTGCACCAGGAAACGAAATTAAATCAAGAAACAAAAATCCGACTCGTGTCATAAAGCGATATATTTTCTAGAGTACGAGTTAACAGAAGAATCGTGATTAAAGAATTGCAAGGTTTGGACTAAATAACTATTGGTAATTTCATTCTTTTATTATTTTAACTTACGTCCATGTTTACATTACAAATTTTCAATGACGAAATTTCTCGCCTTGACCTATATTAAATGTAACAACTAAATTAGTGAGGTCAAACAACTTTACAGAGTTTGCGACTCCATTAAATCGCCTGCAGTAACTGATCGCGATTAGATTGCTTTATTGTTTAGACGGCAGTCAGCCACTTGCTGTAATTGACCATTCCGTAACGTAGCAACTCAGGCACGTTTAGTCTATACAGGGTGATTCAAAAGGTTAGAGCCAAACTGAAGGAGCGTATAGAGGGACTCGGAGAGAACAACTTCCGAATAGGAATCCATGCCCTCCGAAGTTATCCTGAGTCAGTCGAGGCCATTGAAGGTAGGGAAGTCTGATAACACACCGCTGAAATAATTTGGTTTTTAAGATTGCTAATGTAATCTTTGTACATTAATAAACAAATTAAGCTAGTAGGAGAATAGCAAAGTAAGATTATTTCAGCGGTATGTTATCAGACTTCCCTACCTTCAACAGCCTCGACTGACTCAGGATAACTTCGGAGGACACGGATTCCTATTCGAAAGTTGTTCTCTCCGAGTCCCTCTATACGCTCCTTCAGTTTGGCCCTAACTTTTTGAATCACTCTGTATATCTCAACAAGGAGAAAGCTTTGCGAAGGTACAAGGAAACAAACACGCCCTATTTACAAAGGCAAAAATCGAATATTTAAGAAGAGATAAAACGCGTTTTATCTTTTGCATATATCAATGCTTGTGGTCTTCATTTATAGCAATTATAGGCGTTCATCTGCTTTTTATAGTCTCTGATGCCCACCTAGCCTCTTGTCCAATGGGTACTGGGGTCCTGAGTTCTGCTGACCACTCACCCCCTTCTAGTGCCGAAGTGAAGAATGGATAAGAGCTATACTTCCCCCCCCCCCGACCCAAAGCACCAACATGGCGTGTAGCGGGACACCATTTTTTACCATTCCACATACTTCTCAACCACTGAGAATCAGGACCAACCAAATTTGATACGTAAGGGTGTGTCTCCTACTTTACGCAAGAAAATCTACAACTGTGTGACAGCGAAACATTTAGGAAAATATTTGAACCTGTCTCATATCAATTCGTGCAGGTGAACTCCAGAAGGTTATATGAGCTGAGCACGTAGCTAGATCGGGAGAGAAGAAATGCATACAGAATCTGGCGGGGAAATGTCCACTTGGATTACCGAGACAGTGATAGTAATTTGCTATTACGAATTCTGGAATTATTCACTGAAAAATACTACTGTATAGTTATTAAGTGAACATGGTAGCTAAGGTTTAAATGTATAGGTAAGCCTGTAGTAAACTGGAAAGCGCACAGAAGATAGCTCAGCAGACCGTGTCTGCTACAGGAGCATGTTCAATACAACTAGAGTAGCGATGGAATTTATTATAATATTGTACGAACCCAGAAACATCACGGAAAATATACAAGCGTAGGCTATTTCCTCGATTTTAAGACGCTTCTTTTTTAAATTTATATTTTATGAAATCGGGGTGCGTCTTACATTTTATGGCGTCTAAGAATCGACACAGGGTCTTTCTTCCTGAAACCCTATTACTAAACCAAGGGTTTGTCTTACAGTTCATGGCGTCTTAAAATCGAGGAAATATGGTATTTAATGTCACTTAATTTATGATTCACGCAGATAACAGAATGTACCATTCATTTACTCTCACACAAAATTCTGCACTTTTGAGACAGAGAAGATTGCTCCATTTGAACACACTATTGTTTTATTAGTCATTCCTACAGCACGATGCTACACAGATGCGTTCCTACATGATTATGGGTAGGAATTAAGGGTTTATAAGGTTCAGATATACATGAATCGGCAGAAATTGGACGAGAAGTTACTGGATCGGTTCACGTTATCGGCAATGCAGTTGGTGGTATAAGTGTGATATTTCTTTAGATAAGAAAAGGACGCATACGCGCTTTCCCGCTGTCAGATTGCTGAATTTCAAAGCTTTAAAAGTGGTATCGATCTAACTATATATGAGACCAGAAGTGGCATCTGAAAAATCGTAATTTAAGCATCAGAAGGTTCGACATCACTAATACCACAGCCCGCCATTGGGAACAGCCTGATAAAGCTTTATCTACCACCCACCCTAAAAATTTACCTTCGCCAAATCCATCTTAATATTATCCTCCCATCTCATTTTCGGTCTTGCAAGTACACGCTTTCTAGAAGGATTTCTCGCCAAATTCTACGCTCATTTCATATCTATATCAGCTTACCCACAAGCGAAGCCCGTCGCAGGTAACCTATATTCCATACGCATTTTCCACTCCTCTCACATCTCCTATCGTCACCTTTCCGCCCCCCTTTCTATCGTATCTTTTACATCGTCCTCTCCTCACTCACATATTAATTCCCCATCTCTTCCTTATCTCCGTCTCCTCGTCCCTCCTCACTTTTCCCAGAGTCCGCATCGCTCATTTCATTTCTTACATCTCCCCACGTCGTCTAAAACAAATTCCTGAATATTCCACATTTCTCACCATTAAGCGACTTCACAAACTCACATTAAGTAGTATTAAGCTTTTACACACGCTTAATCGCAAATTATTCTTCGCATCCGTGCACAGAACATGCTGCAACCCAGCGTCATTACTGAGTACTTTTTATATCAGCCTATTATATCAGTCTATTCATAACAGGCTGTATAGTCGGCTGCTATTTCCCGAAGCATTTTCCAAAAGATCCGCTCCCATTTCCTCTGTGAGAACAAGAAACAAAACATGCAATGAAAGTAGACATGCATCAAACTCGCTTTACGTAATACAGATAACACATTTCGGAAATTACTTTCGCTCTCTTCAGGTAATTAATTTATGTTACAGAGACATCATTTTGTTCAGATTATCGGTATTCCGGCAACTTGTGACCCTCGGAATGCATATGCCGTCTCTAATTATATTTTGTGATTGATTTTAAAATATTATCTTATTTATGCGGCATAACATCTTTACCCTCCGGTCTCAATTATTTTATGTGGCCGAGTAATTCCATAATAAACCATCGCATCCCTTTGACTGTTGCTGGAAATGGATTCACGCACTCCTGAACCCAAGATAACATACTCGTACTCAGTTATTTGTCATCAAACTTTCCTTGTGGAGGTCTTGAACTTGTTAATAATACAAATTTATAACACACATATTCCAATTTTTTTTCACTTATATGTCCATAAGCACTTCGAACTATGCAACTTTGTATTCAGGCAGAAGTGGTATAAGTATGTTATGAATCGTTTTATTCTAAATTACAACAAACAAATTAAATTTTCTTCTCATATAGGCGTATGTATTCGCACAGAAGCCAAAGAAACCGGATAAAAAATGTAGGATTTGAGGTTTTCACAGTGGCGAGTCTAAAGTTTGCTGTCTTCTGGGTTATTGCGCCGTGTAGTCTGGTAGATTTCCACCAACGTTTCAGAGGTCATACTGCCTCCGTCATCAGGGCGATTCATCGGCAACACGACCTCTGAAACGTTGGTGGAAATCTACCAGACTACACGGCGCAATAACCCAGAAGACAGAAATCTTCGGATAAAAAATACTCGTGAAAGCTACTATCAATCATCGCCTATCACACGCGAATATACGGAGGAAATTTGTAACGCCTGACACCTTGTGTGCA